AACAAGCGTGGTTGGCTGATGATGCTTCTGGTGCAGGGAAAGCTGAGAGTTTGCATGCCTGGTACTCAGGCATCAAAACACAGGGTAGTGGCACAGAATACGTTTTCAACGATAGTAAATTCTGGCTGATTGTAAAAAAAATATCAAAGTCTCAGATAGAGCAAGGACGCTTTTCGGAGGTACTATTAACATTACAACTGATGGACAAAGGCATCTTGGTATTGTAATAGGGTCTGGAGCATTTTGAGACGTTCTTGTCGCGAGAAATGTAGTACTTAGGCAATAGAATTGCAAAACTTATCAATGTTTGCCAAAACACAACAACCGCAAGCTGCCTACACAGCATATATTAAAGCATACAGGTCCAAGTTCACTCATTTTTGCAAAAACAATGTCATGCTTTGGTTCTTATCTAAACGAGATTCAGGACATTCTGGATGAGAAACTCGTGCCCTCGTTCTTCGGTGTCGAAACGGCGGTCTCTGAAGAAATGCGAACTGTTTTCAACATACCTGTTAGCAAAGGAATACTTAGTTTGACCAGAATTGTCAAAGAGTCTGAGTCACAGTTCATAGACTCGTAAGCAATCACTAAGGACCACACTGAAGCGATCATTCTTCAAAACAACTGGTGCGATGTGCAGAGCGTTTTGGAGAGAAGGAGAACTGGACTGCCTCGAAAATGCCGTTATTAAAGCCATGCTGAGTAAAATCACGAACAAAAAAAATCTAGTGCCTATCTTAATGTGCTGCCCCTGGAAGAACAAGACCTACATCTGAATTAAATTAGAGTTTCGTGACCTGCTGAGAATGAGATCCGAACTTCCCTTGGCAAATACCCCACGAAACTGTCCTTGCGGCCAGACCAGAAGTTTTCCGTAGATCACGCATTGATCTGCAAAAAGGGTGGCTTCGTTGGTATGCGACACAACTGCATTCGTGATTATCTATTATCCCAGCTAGATCAAGTGTGTCACAAAGTGCAGGTTGAAACACATTTGTTGACTCCAGAAGGTGAGACTTTGTGTCTCAGAACTGCAATTGCTGGAGATGACGCAAGACTGGACACTAAGGCGTCTGGGTTCTGGCAACGTGGCCAAACTGCTTTTTTGATGTCAGGGTCACTCATGCAAACGCGCCCTCCCATGTAGGCGTTCCTAGAAAGGAAGTCCTGAAACGCCAAGAAGATGAAAAGAAAAGATCCTACCTCGAGAGTATTGTCGAGGTTGAAAACGGAAGTTTCACTCCTCTAGTTTCTGCCAGGGATAGAGCTGTTGGTAAAGAATGCGGCATTTTATCTCCAACTTAGCTGCAAAAATCGCCCATAAGCGCCAAGAGGAGTATTGTCGTTAAATGCTGGTTGGGAACAAAGTTGTCCGTTATGCTTTTGAAATCGGCTATCATGTGCGTTAGAGGGTCGAGAACTCCGTGACAACCGAAGGCAATAGAAGAAGTGCAAGCATTGCTTTATGATGCCACAAAAAGTAGCTTTGCTTTAACAATGATGCAAACACAAGCAATGATACCACAAAATCAAAGTGGCATCATTGCTTTACGATGCCACAAAAACACTTTTTGTGATGCCACAAAAAATAGAAAGATCTTACTCGATTCTTGGTGGGAACGAGTGAACTGTTTCAGTCGCAAAACACGACCTGCAATTTGAGCCACGACTGTGATTTTACTGCGTAAGATCTAAACAGTTACTACAATAGCATATCTACTAGTAAAGTTGCCGTGGAGCTATCGAAAAGGCCGGCTCAGCAACAATTGTGCCATTAGTCAACGTCTTTCAAACTTATCATGCGCTAAAAACCATCAAGAAGTCGGCAACAGGACCCGAAAATATTCCATTCTGGTTCTTCAAAAACAATGCGGTTTTCTTAGCAGAAGTATATGCCCATGTAATCTGTCTTTGCGCACCCTTTGGTTCCCGGCAGATGGAAGAAATCAAAGATCATTCCATTAGCAAGAGTGTCGAGACCAAAAGAACCGAAAGACTACAGACCAGTTTCAATAACAGATGTCATTACTCGGTGCTTTGAACGGATCGTTATCAACATGTTTGTCAAGCCGTCCTACGTGTCGTCAGTTAGTAACCAACAGTTCGGTTTCCGACCACAAGGATCTACTTCTGGGGCTGGCATAAAAATTTTGAATGACATCAGTTTTTATTGTCAAACCCATGATTATGTGCGCCTCTTTACTCTAGATATGAGCAAAGCATTCGATACAATTTTGCATGAGAGTATCTGGCGTGGTCTAAAGCTAAAACCAACCTTGCATGCATCTTTTGTCAATTATATTGCAGATTTTCAAACGAACAGGGTCATTATACTTGTTTTTTAGGCGCGCCCACTAAATACGGTATTTCAGTAAACGATATCAGTGTCAAGCATTTGTATGGTGAACTCACTGATTTTGCAGACGACAATACGCCGATAATAACAGGATACTTTAAAAGAGGTGATCAATCATTTGCAGTTTTGTCAGAATTACAGACTGCGTTCTCAGGCAGAAATCTCCACCTGAATAGCTCTTCATCCAAAGAAATGATTATTTATTTCAGGAAAATTAGCATAGATGTTCCTCCAGTTTTCAACATAGAACTGTTTCCATAGTGTCAGAAATCAGACTTCTTGGGATAACAATGTATTCACAGCTGACGTTCAAGTCATATGTGGAGAAAACTGCACGTTCTGTCACGTCAAACTTAATTTTACTGCTAAGACTGAAACATCTCAGATACACCCAAGAAGAGTTTATTACTTTAATTGTCCCTAGTGCTTAGCAAACTTCTCTACGGTCTCTCAGTTTGGTGTGGAACCGAATGCGACATTTTGCAGAAGATCGATGTTGTTCAAATAAAGGCCAAAAAATGGGGTATTATCAAAGAATACACGCCAGTAAGATAGATTATTAAAAAAAAACGATGAAAAACTGCTTCGGTCCATTTTTTTCCAGCCACAGAATCCTTTGTTTCAATACATTCTGAAAAGAACCGAGTATTCGAACAATTTACGGCCCAGACTCTCTGCGACGTCTAAGAGTAAAACTGAGAAAGATTTGACTTATTTCCGAACCGGGCACTCAGAAACTACGACCTTTAACTGCTTGATTTTTAAATTTGTGTATTTGGTTGTTAAAAACCGAGTTTAAATACAAGTTCTTTTTCTTCTTAGATTACATTAATTCGCAAATAAGTAGATAAATTAATTTGGTTCCATTTCTATTTTTACATTTTCTCGTCAGAATCCAATGGTGCTACTTTTTTTGAGTGTTTCTGTAAACTTTGATACTTTGCAGTTATAACTCTTATGGATCTTTGATTTTACGTTTTCCTCCAATTTTCTTTTTGTCATCGTGAATCGTGAAGTTATCTGCACATTGGTGATAGCGCACATTTTTTCGCTAATGTCTGACTGTGACTCCTCCTTTAATGGACCATCAATATCGGTGATGAATCGCTGCTATAATCACAGGACTTCCTTTTCTCAGCCATCTTTTTGTTTTTGCCCTCCCCCATGATTTTCTCAAGGGCTCACGATGCAACGTATGACGAACAATTTTCTGGATTTTGGTTATTCAACCACTGTTTACAGTCGATTTTCATTGATTTATCAAAGTTTTCCCATGTGGAAGTACTGCGGAAAACACGGTGAACACTTCCTTCGATTCTGTTGGTTTCTGAAAGATCATAAGATAAAAACATGAATTCCATAATTATTCCATACCCAAAGCACACCCGACTCATCAAAACTCCTCAGCAAAATTCCCTCTTTTTTGCACGGTTATTTCCAGCCCTAAAAATTGATTATCACAAGATAAAATTCCCTCTTTTTTGCACGGTTATTTCCAGCCCTAAAAATTGATTATCACAAGATTTGGAACTATATGAGCTTTGATATCTCTACTTTTGATTAGAAAAATTTTTGTCAAGAGAAAGAAATAATTAGACTTAGTCCTTTTTATGGTTTAGGTCAGTGGTTTTTATAACATTTTCTAAAAGTTTTTCCGAACTTTTTTTTAATATTTCGATTTTTTCAATAGAATTCAATTGAGATAGAGCGAATGGAAAATGTAAATTACGAACGTTTTTGCACTTTTGTGCATCATCGGGTTTAAAAGTATTAAACATTTTAATTTTGCAATTTAGTTTAGTAACATTCTGCAATATTTTAATTTAGCATTTTAAAACATGCTTCAGAATGAAATGTTAAATCTTCGCGGGCTTCAAAGTTTTCGCCTTCTGTCGTATTTCGTTAGTATCGTGAATTTATTCTCATGCCTGGCTGCTCTAGTAATAGGAGCTTGGTTTATCTCTTCAAGCGATCGAGATGAAATTCTGGCCGTTACAAATTCCTCTGTCCTTAAGCGTTGTGCTCATTATCTGATTGTTTTTTCAGTAATCTACTCGCTCTGTTCATTTTTATACATGGTTGGAGTGCTCAATGGCAATACTATTCTGTATTCTGTGGCAAATGTAGTAGTGATCATTTTATCGACTCTATTTGTGGCCCTGTTGTTTGTTCATCTTTCCTTAGTCAACGATTATACTGAGGACCTACTAATGGAATCTCTTCAAAAATCGTTTACCTCTGTAACCGCTGACGACAAGCATTCTAAAATTTGGAATCTAGTACAAGTGAAATTCGGATGTTGTGGTTCTTCTGGATCCTCAGATTGGCTCAATTCACTCTGGCATATGAGCGGTGAAAGCAATTTGACTGTCTATGGAAATACATTTAAAGCGGATTTTCCAATTTCTTGTTGCTTTCACGAAAATTTAGACCAATGGAGATCCATTAGTGATCTGGATTTAGCAGCATGTTACGCTCCTTCGCCGAGTAATCATGCAGCTACGAGGGGTTGCTACGAGCCGATGAAAAGTTTTATAAAGGATAACATATTTCTGTTCCTTGGATACCTGATCTACATAATTTGCCTGCTAATTGTAGGACAGATTCTTTCTCTTACGTTCTCAAATATCAACTGGGAAGAAAGAAGATAAAAATATTCAAGGCAAACAAGAAAGCTGTCATCAATAATAGAAACTGTAAATATTGTTCAATTGTACATATATTCATCAGCTCTATGTAGATTTGAAATTTAATTTAGAGTTCACAAGGAGTCTATTTTTCCGGGCATGAATTCGTCTCCTCCATTTTCGAAATATTCACCTTAACAGATAAAATTTAAAAGACATTCGTGGTCAACAGGCTGTCACAGTATAACTGCGTATATTCTTGAGTATAATAATTATTGTGTCTAAGTTGTCTCAAACAATAACCCTAATTTAGCACTTAATTAATTTGTAAAAACAAATCTATTTTTCTAGAAGAAGCGCTTGTGAATCTACTCACCCATTCGTTCTGCAGCCTCGACTGAAATACTGGCGATCATGGAGGAGTTATATGAAACCACTGTCACGTATTTTTCACCGTTCACAGCTATCAATCCGTGACTCGCTTCCTAAAAATCAGGAAAACTATTAAATCGGATTGCTTAAAAAAATGTTCGTCTCAAATAGTCGACTAGGGGTTCCAAACGAGTTTGTTATGATTGCTGAGAATTTTGCGCTCGCAGTTTTCGGAATCATACTTCGAAGAAATAACGATTTGTAAATTGACCGGCGTGTATTTTGGGTCCGAAATGCTATAAAAACACTACTCGGATAAATATATAGCAATTTTTAGTGGCTGAAAATCTTACAGTTTGGCAGTATAGAGAGTAGGAGTCGGCTCTGATGACTTCGTACTCGCGATGCAGGAACTGGACAGTGCCTCTAGCTCTTGTAGTGTTGGGGTCTGCAAAGATATCCACTAATTGTTTTGCATCAGAATTTGAGAGCTAGCAACAAAACTACAATGTAATTAAAGATAGCCGGCTGCTGTGCAAGTTGCACACAATGTCAACAAGAGAATTTAATAAGGAGAAAAATTTTGAAGTTTTCAATTATCTTCAAGTATCAATGAACGTTGCAGTATCAATGAACGTAGTGAAGACAGTTATATAGGTAGAGTGATATTTTTTGCTTTTGTACAGGAATGAATCTTGAAAAATCTGATATTTTGCTGTTCTACTTGAGTTTCTTTAAAAATCAATTCTTCTAAGTTCAATTCTTGTTCATTTGCTAAAAGAACGTTAAATTACGCTTTTCGATCACAAAAGCGGAAAAAAAACGAAAAAAATATTACGAAAATGAACGAAAAATGAAAATGCACCTTCTGATCCAGGTTTTGAAAAGGCGGTTAATTTTATCAAAAATGTTTTACTCTTAAACTAATCTAAAAATTCAGAGCTTTAAAGTGGTCTATTGTTTTCTTTGAAATTCGATTTTTTAGAAAAACAAGTTTCAATGTTTTGAGTTTCCTTGCGTTCAGTGACCACATTTCCAACTATGTTGGTAATGTTTTTCTAATTTGCTCAATTTTCTAGGTAAAAAGCAGTGAATTGAGTTTTAATAAATGCAGAATGATTATAGCTAAATTAACGTTAAATTTGCAGTAGAAGTAAAATCACAATTGAGTCAGTATGGCCAAATTTTATGGGATTCTTTCTGGGTATTGGAAAAATGCAGACCATTTTTCTCGAAACAGACAAATCTTTTCATTATTTTTTTTGGAATCCAAATCTCGGCTGAAAGGGTTTATATATGATCGCAAATTGACCCCTTTCAAGCTTTCCTTGGTGCATCAAAATACTGAAGAAAATACACACCTGCTTCTCCAGTGTTCTTCACTTAATGAATTGCCGGAGCAACAAAAAAACGCTGCTGTTTTTGAAGTTTTCTAAAAAAAAACATTCGGATCTCCACTAAAGAATCTTGCGTTGTACTAGTAATACGAGCTAGCTTTTTCAAATATAATTCAACATTTTCCTCGCTTTTTTTGTGCAAAATTTTTTCACCGTTATTAATTGGGCAAAATAACACTTACGCATTTATTGAAAGTGGGAATGTGAGACGGCAGAGGTTTTAATAACTACCGAAATTGTCAAATAAAGTGTTACCCCAAAAATGAGTTTTTTTTTTAATTAATCTATAATTACGCTAAAACAACTGAGTTAATTGATTAAAAACTTATACCTAAAAAGCCTCTCATACAGTCCAACAAAGTTCTAGAAGTGTTAAACTTCCAAAAATTTGCGTTGAAATTTGTTTTTAAGCAAAGATTTTGCTTTTTATGTAGTATAAATGACCTTTTTAGCTATCAACCAAAATTATATTCTCTTATAGTGGGAAATTTAGCGCTTCTAGAACTTTGTTGGAATGTGTGAGAGGAAGAAACTTATACCAAAAAAGCCTCTCACACATTCCAACAAAGTTCTAGAAGCGCTAAATTTCCCACTATAAGAGAATATAATTTTGGTTGATAGCTAAAAAAGTCATTTATACTACATAAAAAGCAAAATCTTTGCTTAAATGTTTTAAAGCAAAGATTTTGCTTTTTATGTAGTATAAATGACCTTTTTAGCTATCAACCAAAATTATATTCTCTTATAGTGGGAAATTTAGCGCTTCTAGAACTTTGTTGGAATGTGTGAGAGCCTTCTTGTAGTATAACTTTATCATCAATTAAGTCGGTAGTTTCAGCGTAGTTCTTGAGTAATCAAAAGAAAACCAAATGACCCAGTTTTCAGGTAAAACTTAGGTTGAGATTTTTCGAGACAAAATTGCGCCAAATTAATTCTGGTAAAATTCGAAGCAATTTTTTTTTTCACTTGACTTTTGTCTAATTTGAACCCAATTTGAGAAAAACGAATCTGCAATTTCAAATTTTGTTCGTTTTGTCCAGATAGTTCAAATCAGCGCTGTAGTTCAGACAATTGAAGGTTTTGAATAACTTTGGATTCATATCAAGGCCAAGATTTAATCCTTTTTTACGATTGAGCAATTTCATCAAAAAAGTGAAGCAGCAAGGCCTGTAAAAAATTTTGCATAAGCTTTCTGATTTCTTCCGATACTCATCGATATAAATTAATAAAAAATATATACTTTCAAATAAATGGGTGAACTATCAACGTAGTGTATTTAACCGAGGTGGATTTTCTCATGCGCGAAAATTCTCAACCAACCAACGCCCTTTAAACTCTCTAAAACTGACTGAACTTATCGCTTATTTTTTCTAATGTTTGAATTCTGAGCTCTGATTGGTTGACAAAACGTTACGCTCATTCGAGCCTCCGCGCATGAGGGATTACCCTATTTACCCGCAACGCGAGAGCTTTGTTTGCTGAAACAATCTCGCCACTTTTCGAATCCAGAAGCGCACAGTCTTCCACGTGTGGAATCCGCATCATTCTGTCAATGGCCTGTAAGTGAAGTGGTTTGATGGCAAACGGGATAAAGTCTGTGATCGTTTTTAAGTCCTCCATAACTCAAATTTAACAAACTGAAAAAAAAATCAGCATCGGATTGAATTCAATAGATTTCTGATGAATGTTAGCTTGAGAATGTATAATTTACGTTTGATAAATGACACTGTTAAGCAACGTATTTGTGATACCAACTTAGATATAAGACTAATTGATCACATATAGTTTTAAGCTATCATAAGTTTCTGACAACGAGTTTTTCTACAACATTTGTCATATTTAGTCTTGTCCGCAATCAAAGTTGTGAACAACTGTTTTGTTCATATGGATGATCAAACTGCATGCAAAAGCAGTCCCCTAAGGCAACTTCAATTGTTTCGTACTCAAATTAGAAATATATATCATTGTAAGAAGAATTCTAAGGGATTTCTGATTTAAAAAAAGCCGCTCAAAGGCGGCAATGCGCTGCAACTGAAAAACAATTGTGGAGTTTTCTAAAAAGATCTATCGGAAAATTTTTTGGAAAGGGTACTAAAAAACAAAAGATCTTTATCTTCGATGGCCTACTCAATATTGCGCCTTTTTTCAGATGATGTCTTTCATTTATGAACGAAGCATGCTACCGACGAAATGTTTTGGTAACCGAAAGCGATTGGAAGAAAAAATTGATTTATTTCATGCTGACGTTGAAAGATAGAATTGGTTTGCGAAATTGTTCGTGTTTTTTCTTTCTTTTAATTACTCAAGCGAAGAACCGTAAGAATTATTCTTGTCGTTTTGATAATTTGAGTCTATTTGCGGAAAGCTCTACTTTTTCAAGCAGGCTATTCTGAAACTTTTTTATATTTTAAGTTGTTTTCAGTGCTTTGCAAAATTCACCTATTCAATCAATGAAATTTTAAAATTATTACGTTATTACCATAAAGAGGTGATTAAGGTTTTGAAATTGAATCAATGCGATCGTTTATGGAGTATGGAGATATTACCTTTAAGCTTTTGATCATTTTCACAAAATTTATAGAGTTTTATCTATCAGCTTAGCTCAAAGCTTTTAAGCATTACTAAACGTTCCAATTCAAGATTTCTATAACGTTTTCCTTGTTAGCGTTCATAGCGCATTCTGACTTCCTTTAAAATAAGAAGAATGGGGAACGCTAATAGGTTGAAATGATTAGTACTCGGAACGTTTTTGCAAAAACGCTGGCCTATTCAATTAAATTGAAGGTCAGGTGTTAAAGTTTGTTGCTAGGGGTATCAATTGGTTCTTCCAATTTTTTTTTCTTAAAACTCTACAAAGCTTCTATTATTCTTTCGGAAATTTTTTGAACCAAATAAGTTGAAATATGTAAGTAATTTGATTTTGTCTGCATACTGCCAGTTATAAGTTAAAGAATATAATGTTCAAGAAAAAAATAACGGATTTCGACAATTTCATCACACCACTTAATGGAATGATTCTTTTTTGCACGGGTGTGGTATATTTTTCTTCGGGTGTTGTAGTTTTTTTTTCACGCAAAGTCAGGAACCACAAGAAATTATACAAATGGATAGAGTAGTACATCACATGAAAATCTTTTAGTAGTGATTCGAACCGTATTTAAATAAATAGTTGTATAGTTTGTACAGTGCTGATTTAAATTAACCGGACAACGCGTTAAGCTTGAAATTTAAAACGCATTTTTCTCAAACTGGGTTGAGTTTAGGTGAAAACTCATGAAGACAAAACTTGCTGAAAATTTAAGCCGAATTAAAATGGTGTAATTTGTTTTGCAAAATTCGGGCCCAAAATTTTACCCCAAAAATGGGTAATTTTGGCTTTTCTTAGTTAATAAAAAATTACGCCAAAAATACCCAGTAGATCACAGTCATAATTATATAAAAGTCAGCCTCTTACGTAGCCCAACAAACTTTAAGAAGGGAATATTCTCCAAAAAAATTTGGAAAACGTTTAAAAATTGTTTTTAAATAAAAAGTTGGTATTTTATTAAGAAAAAACGACCTTTTTGTTTATCAAACAAAAATAAATTAATTTATACAATGTTTTGGAGAAAATATATTTTTCAAGTTTATTGGTAAACGTAAAAGGCTCACTTTGATATAATTATGTCTGTGATCGACTGGGTAGTTTTGGCGTAACTTTTGATTAACTAAGAAAAGCCAAAATGACCCATTTTTGGGGTAAAACTTTGGGTCTGATTTTTGCGAAACAAAAAACACCATAATAATTCTGCTAAAATTCTAAGCTTTTGTCTTCGTGAAGTTTCACCTAAACTCAACCCAATTTGAGAAAAACGCGTTTTAAATTTCAAGTTTAACGCGTTTTTTCCGGTTAATTTAAAATAGCACTGTATAGTTTCGAGAGAGTAAAGCGGTCCGGTAAGTAACTCTCGTTGTGTAAAAATTGGTATTTTAGCCCAATAAAAATTGTTTTTATTAAAGCAAACTAGTTTTGGAAGTTTCATGCACTTCCTTGGCTATTAGTTTTCTTTAAAAAATGTACAAACTTAGAAAAAACAATGAAATGTTTTTCATGTTTTTGTTTGTTTTTATTTTTTTGAAGACAACGGTAGTTGATTACGCTTAATTTGCTTAATTCAACGCGTTTGTTTGGTTAGTTTTTCATCACACAACGCTTACGAAACGACAAAAATATGAAGAAGAAAACTTGTTTTAGTAGTTTTTTGTGAATGTGGTGGTAGCATTCTGTACTAAATGCACAACTACCGGCTATCCTTGTTACTTAAAACTGGTATCTGCTAAAAGCTACGACCGTTGGACAACTATTCTGATCTTCGCTAACGTTTCAGTGAACATCAGTTGAACTCAGGTTACCTTCTTTTACGTTTATAGCTTCTAACAAATTTATCGGACAACGTAGAAAATTTTTGAAATAACTCTGACCTTAAGACTGTGAAATGCCGTTGAAACTGCAATCGAATTTTCAAAACTGCATTTGAACTGACAAAGGAGCAATGCAAAGTGATTGCGCGAGTTTCCTTTTTCCCTGATGTCAAGAGCACAATTGAAAAAACTTTTTCATTCAACAACGATTTGTCATGTAATTTGTCATGACAAAAAAATACATAAAATGCCGACAAAAAGGCAAACACAAAATTGCAAAGAATTGTTTTGATTCAGTTTGAACTTAAAGGTCAGAATTTTTTCAGAAGTTCTTACGTGGTCCGATAAATTTGTTAAAAGCTAGAAATCCGAACCAAGCTTCGTACCAAAAGCTTAGAGAGCTGTCCGACTCTATCTATTTTAACGTTAGTCATTTGTAGTTAGACACTCAATTAACAACAATTTTGTTTAGTTTTCTTCTATTTCAATTTTTAAACGCAACTCAACCAATGCTTAAGATATGATCGCTTGCTACGAAGCGACAACTGAATCTTCTTCAACTTGATCTTCAGCCCGAAGAGGTTTTGCTACTTCAGAAAATTTTTAAAACAATGTTTCTTGTGTGTTTAACTATGTATTCTAAAAAGTTCCCGTTGCTTTCAGAAAGCGATTGAAATCTTTCATTTCTCGCAAAAGTTTCACGTTATGATATCTCTCATAATTGAATTTCTCGCCACTCCGTCTGTGATATGTTCGTCTTTTCACCCATTTTCTGCCGTCCAAACCCGCTTTCTCCGAATTTGTTCTCCTCATAGGTGAAAATCCTTCTCGAAAAGTATCGCCTTGACCTTCTACTCCTGATTTCACGCCTCCAGCTGCGCTCTCTCCGGTCGAGTGGCCATCTTGCATATCGTCATGCTCATTTTGAATTGCCTTATTCGAACTTTTCGCTAAATTCAATTTCAATTGTTGCATGTTGCGCGCTTTTAAGTCGTTAGTTCCCAGCCCTTTAGCGGCCTGTGTTTGTAACTTCGGCTCGAGGACTTTCAAAATTCGGTCGACTTGAATTGCTTTCCGATCCAATTGGCGTCTTAATTCGCGTTGTCGGTCGTCTAGTTTTCTCGTGACTTGCCGAGACGTCGCGGCGCTTTCGCGTAGCGCGAGGCAGTCGAGTCGTTCACGCTCTAAGGTGTCGTATTCGTCTTCGAGTGTAAGTAACATTTGAAATAAGGTTCTCGGCGATGTTTGGTCAAGAGAAGCTAAGGTTAGTTTTTCTTTATTATTCGCTTTGGATCGCGACGGATATGCACTCATTTCCGATTGTTGCGAAGAAATCGGACAGCTGTTTGTGGAAGCATATTTAGCTGCAGTATTGGAGCTGTTTTTCTCGACACAGAAAGTTTCGTTCACTTGTCCTCGGTCCGTGAAAGCGTACGCGCATGCCATTTCTGGCGCGTTATTCGGGCGTCTTCCATTGTTCATTTGGGGTTGGGGCAAAGGCTGTATGACGTTGTCGTCTGAAATAAAAACTATTTGATTGAACAGCAAAAAAAAACTAATTTTTGATAGTATAGAATAAACATTATGAGTCTAAAAAAAGTTGGAGTTGTTCTGATCTTGTTTGATCCACGACCAAATTTTTTCCTTTCTAATGGCTCAGTTTTTTTCATCAAAATTTCTTGTCACCAAATCAAATTCTTCTGAAGATGATATACCGAGATCTATTTCTTCAAAAATTTTTGGTTCAATTTTTTAAACTACTTTCCTGGAAAGCTCGTAAGTTTGCTGTATTATATTTTTGAATGTTTCATATATTTTTAGCTTTGAAATTATATATTGTAATTATTAAGGAAAGGAAAATGCTCCGTCGCAATTAGCAATTGAAACATCTTACTCATCCTCTCTTGGCCATTTGCTGGTTGGTTGTTCTGATGGTGTGAGGAGTGTCTGGACATGCTTCGGATGAAGGGGGCTCCAGAGGTGCCAGGGTTGCCTGCAAACCCATTGCCGGTGGAGACACCCGGAGACACGCCAAGGTTTCCAGCTCCGGTGGTCCTTCTGTTAAAAATTATTCACTAATTTATCATCAATACTTTTGGAAAATCAATTTTAAAAATGCGACATGATTTGACCCGAAAAAACGCTGGAAAAGTCGGTAAATGGTAAAAACTTGTGAGTTTTTACCATTTATATCGGGTTGATGAATCGCTTGGGACATCAAAGCTTTGTAAATACAAAGTTCACTATGTTAAGCCGAAGATTTGCGTGCATCTAAAACTCTGCCAAATTTTAAGAGAACAATGTAGTGAATGTAGTGATTCCGAAAGACACGTAACAAGTAGAGCCGCTCGTTTCTTTTTTTTTTA